GTTTGTTTTGTTTTACGTCATATCAACCTCAATGGGTTATCTAATACTGACAAAATTTTTATTGCTGGTAATATCTATCTATCTATCTATCTATCTATCTATCTTGGTATATTTTGTTTTGTTTTGTTTTTACGTCATATTTTGGGTTATCTAATACTGACAAAATTTTCAACCTCAATGGGTTATCTATCTAATGTATAAATTGGTTTGTTTTGTTTACGTCATATCAACCTCAATGGGTTATCTAACTGACAAAATTTTTATTGCTGGTAATATCTATCTATCTATGAATATCTATCTATCTTAGTATATATTGGTTTGTTTTGTTTTACGTCATATCAACCTCAATGGGTTATCTAATACTGACAAAATTTTTATTGCTGGTAATATCTATCTATCTATCTATCTATCTATCTTAGTATATATTGGTTTGTTTTGTTTTACGTCATATTTTCAATGGGTTATCAACCTCAAAAATGGGTTATTTAATGACAATCTTGACAAAATTTTAGATCTATAATATCTTAGTATATATTTAGGTTTAGATCAATGGGTTATCTATCTATGAATAGAATCTATCTATCTATCTTAGTATATATTGGTTTGTTTTTGTTTTTTACGTCATATCAACCTCAATGGGTTATCTAATACTGACAAAATTTTTATTGCTGGTAATATCTATCTATCTATCTATCTATCTATCTTAGTATATATTGGTTTGTTTTGTTTTACGTCATATCAACCTCAATGGGTTATCTAATACTGACAAAATTTTTATTGCTGGTAATATCTATATCTATCTATCTATCTATCTATAGTATATATACGTATATTATGGGGTTTATATTGGTTTATTTTGTTTTACGTATATATCATATCAACCTCAATGGGTTATCTAATGCTGACAAAATTTTTATTGCTGGATAATATATCTATCTATCTATCTATCTATCTATCTATCTTAGTATATATTGGTTTGTTTTGTTTTACGTCATATCAACCTCAATGGGTTATCTAATACTGACAAAATTTTATTGCTGGTATATATCTATCTATCTATCTATCTATCTATCTATCTTAGTATATATTGGTTTGTTTTGTTTTACGTCATATCAACCTCAATGGGTTATCTAATACTGACAAAATTTTTATTGCTGATAATATCTATCATATGATCTATCTATCTATCTATCTATCTTGGTTTATATTGGTTTGTTTTGTTTTACGTCATATCAACCTCAATGGGTTATCTAATACTGACAAAATTTTTATTTGCTGGATAGATATCTATCTATCTATCTATCTATCTATCTATCTTAGTATATATTGGTTTGTTTTGTTTTACGTCATATCAACCTCAATGGGTTATCTAATACTGACAAAATTTTTATTGCTGGTAATATCTATCTATCTATCTATCTATCTATCTATCTATCTATCTATATATATTGGTTTGTTTTGGTTTTGTTTTACGTCATATCAACCTCAATGGGTTATCTAATACTGACAAAATTTTTATTGCTGGTAATATCTATCTATCTATCTATCTATCTATCTTAGTATATATTGGTTTGTTTTGTTTTACGTCATATCAACCTCAATGGGTTATCTAATACTGACAAAATTTTTATTGCTGGTAATATCTATCTATCTATCTATCTATCTATCTATCTATCTATCTTAGTATATATTGGTTTGTTTTGTTTTACGTCATATCAACCTCAATGGGTTATCTAATACTGACAAAATTTTTATTGCTGGTAATATCTATCTATCTATCTATCTATCTATCTATCTTAGTATATATTGGTTTGTTTTGTTTTACGTCATATCAACCTCAATGGGTTATCTAATACTGACAAAATATTTTTGTTTTTTGTCATATATATTATTCTATGAATCTAATATCTATCTATCTTGGTATATATTGGTTTGTTTTGTTTTACGTCATATCAACCTCAATGGGTTATCTAATACTGACAAAATTTTTATTGCTGGTAATAGATCTATCTAATAGAATATCTATCTTTGGTATATATTGGTTTGTTTTGTTTTACGTCATATCAACCTCAATGGGTTATCTAATACTGGGTTATTTAATATCTATCAATCAATCTATCTTTTTATTGGTTTGGATATATCAACCTCAATGGGTTATCTAAACTGACAAAATTTTTATTGCTGGTAATATCTATCTATCTTTATTATCTATTGGTATATATTTTTGTTTTGTTTTACGTCATATCAACCTCAATGGGTTATCTAATGACAAATTTTTTATTGACAAAATTTTTTATCTATCTATCTATCTTCTTAGTATATATTGGTTTGTTTTTGGTCATATACCTCAATGGGTTATCTAATCTGACAAAATTTTTATTCTGGTAAATAGATCTATCTATCTATATATCTTATCTTGGTATATATTGGTTTGTTTTGTTTTACGTCATATCAACCTCAATGGGTTATCTAATACTGACAAAATTTTTATTGCTGGTAATATGAATATCTATTGTATCTATCTATCTATCTTAGTATATATTGGTTTTTGTTTTGTTTTACGTCATATCAACCTCAATGGGTTATCTAATGCTGACAAAATTTTTATTTTAGGATATCTATCTATATCTATCTATCTATCTTAGTATATATTGGTTTGTTTTTGTTTTACGTCATATCAACCTCAATGGGTTATCTAATGCTGACAAAATTTTTATTGCTGGTAATATCTATATCTATCTATCTATCTATCTTTATATATTGGTTTGTTTTGTTTTACGTCATATCAACCTCAATGGGTTATCTAATACTGACAAATTTTTTTTATTGGATATCTATATCTATCTATGAATATCTAATATCTATCTATTTGGTATATATTGGTTTGTTTTTTTTTTACGTCATATCAACCTCAATGGGTTATCTAATACTGACAAAATTTTATTTTGGTAATATCTATCAATATTATCTATCTATCTATCTATCTATCTATCTATCTATCTATCTTAGTATATATTGGTTTGTTTTGTTTTACGTCATATCAACCTCAATGGGTTATCTAATACTGACAAAATTTTTTATTGCTGGTATCTATCTATCTATCTATCTTAATATCTATCTATCTATCTATCTATCAAAATTTTTATTTTAGTTTATATTCTATCTTAGTATATTTGTTTTGTTTTACGTCATATCAACCTCAATGGGTTATCTAATATCTATCTATCTATCAAGTATATATTGGTTTGTTTTGTTTTACGTCATATCAATATCAATGGGTTATCTAATGACAAAATTTTTATGGTATATCTATCTATCTATCTATTATCTATCTATATATATTGTATATTTGGTTTTTTTTTTTACGTCATATCAACCTCAATGGGTTATCTAATACTGACAAAATTTTTATTGCTGGTAATATCTATCTATCTATCTATCTATCTATCTATCTTAGTATATATTGGTTTGTTTTGTTTTACGTCATATCAACCTCAATGGGTTATCTAATACTGACAAAATTTTTATTGCTGGTAATATCTATCTATCTATCTATCTATCTATCTATCTATCTATCTATCTTAGTATATATTGGTTTGTTTTGTTTTACGTCATATCAACCTCAATGGGTTATCTAATCTGACAAAATTTTAATATCTATCTATCTAACAAAATTTTTTAGATTGGGTTATCTAATATCTATCTATCTATCTTAGTATATATCATATCAACCTCAATGGGTTCTTATTGCTGGTAATATCTATCTATCTATCTATATCTATCTATATATTGGTTTGTTTGTTTTGTTTTACGTCATATCAACCTCAATGGGTTATCTAATACTGACAAAATTTTTATTGCTGGTAATATCTATCTATCTATCTATCTTAGTATATATTGGTTTGTTTTGTTTTACGTCATATCAACCTCAATGGGTTATCTAATACTGACAAAATTTTTATCTATCTTTGGTATATATTCTATCTTAGTATATATTGGTTTGTTTTGTTTTACGTCATATCAACCTCAATGGGTTATCTAATACTGACAAAATTTTTATTGCTGGTAATATCTATCTATCTATCTATCTATCTATCTATCTATCTATCTATCTTAGTATATATTGGTTTGTTTTGTTTTACGTCATATCAACCTCAATGGGTTATCTAATGCTGACAAAATTTTTATTGCTGGTAATATCTATCTATCTATCTATCTATCTATCTATCTATCTTAGTATATATTGGTTTGTTTTGTTTTACGTCATATCAACCTCAATGGGTTATCTAATGCTGACAAAATTTTTATTGCTGGTAATATCTATCTATCTATCTATCTATCTATCTTAGTATATATTGGTTTGTTTTGTTTTACGTCATATCAACCTCAATGGGTTATCTAATACTGACAAATTTTTTATTATGGTAATATCTATCTATCTATCTATCTATCTATATCTTAGTATATATTGGTTTGTTTTGTTTTACGTCATATCAACCTCAATGGGTTATCTAATACTGACAAAATTTTTATTGCTGGTAATATCTATCTATATCTATCTATCTATCTATATCTATCTTAGTATATATTGGTTTGTTTTTTTTTTTACGTCATATCAACCTCAATGGGTTATCTAATACTGACAAAATTTTTTATTGCTAATATCTATCTATCTATCTATCTATCTATCTTAGTATATATTGGTTTGTTTTGTTTTTTATCATATCAACCTCAATGGGTTTTAGTACAAATATTTATTTTATTTTTGTTTTACGTCATATCAACCTCAATGGGTTTGACAAAAATTTTTTTGTTTTATCTATCATTCATCTATTTATCTAATATTCTGAAAAATTTTTATTGTTGGTAAATATCTATTTAATATCTATCTATCTATCTATCTATCTTAGTATATATTGGTTTGTTTTGTTTTACGTCATATCAACCTCAATGGGTTATCTAATACTGACAAAATTTTTTATTGCTGGTAATATCTATCTATGAATCTATCTATCTATCTATCTATCTATCTTAGTATATATTGGTTTGTTTTTTTTTTACGTCATATCAACCTCAATGGGTTATCTAATACTGACAAAATTTTTATTGCTGGTAATATCTATCTATCTATATCTATCTATCTATCTATCTATCTATTTAGTATTATATTGGTTTGTTTTGTTTTACGTCATATCAACCTCAATGGGTTATCTAATACTGACAAAATTTTTATTGCTGGTAATATCTATCTATCTATCTATCTATCTATCTATCTTATCTATATATATTGGTTTGTTTTGTTTTACGTCATATCAACCTCAATGGGTTATCTAATGCTGACAAAATTTTTATTGCTGGTAGATCTATCTATGAATATCTATCTATCTATCTTAGTATATATTGGTTTGTTTTTGTTTTACGTCATATCAACCTCAATGGGTTATCTAATACTGACAAAAAAATTTTTTATTATCTGGTATATATCTATCTATCTATCTATTCTATCTATCTTCTTAGTATATATTGGTTTGTTTTGTTTTACGTCATATCAACCTCAATGGGTTATCTAATACTGACAAAATTTTTATTGCTGGTAATATCTATCTATCTATCTATCTATCTATCTATCTATCTATCTTAGTATATATTGGTTTGTTTTGTTTTACGTCATATCAACCTCAATGGGTTATCTAATACTGACAAAATTTTTATTGCTGGTAATATCTATCTATCTATCTATCTATCTATCTATCTATCTATCTATCTTAGTATATATTGGTTTGTTTTGTTTTACGTCATATCAACCTCAATGGGTTATCTAATACTGACAAAATTTTTAGGATTGATAATATCTATCTATCTATCTATCTATCTATCTATCATCTTAGTATATATTGGTTTGTTTTTTTTTTACGTCATATCAACCTCAATGGGTTATCTAATGCTGACAAAATTTTTTATTGCTGGTAATATCTAGATATCTATCTATCTATCTATCTGTATCTATCTATCTTAGTATATATTGGTTTGTTTTGTTTTACGTCATATCAACCTCAATACTGAAAAATTTTTATTCTAATATCTGACAAAATCTTTTTTTGGTTTGTTTTAACGTCATATCAACCTCAATGGGTTATAATATCAAAATTTTTATCTATCTATCTATCTATCTATCTATCTATCTTCTTAGTATATATTGGTTTGTTTTGTTTTACGTCATATCAACCTCAATGGGTTATCTAATACTGACAAAATTTTTATTGCTGGATATCTATCTATCTATCTATCTATCTATCTATATCTTAGTATATATTGGTTTGTTTTGATCATATCAACCTCAATTTTGTTTCTACGTGACAAAATTTTTTCATTAATGGTATATTATTATCTAATCTATCTATCTATCTTAGTATATATTGGTTTGTTTTGTTTTACGTCATATCAACCTCAATGGGTTATCTAATACTGACAAAATATCTATCTATTCTTTGGTTTATATTGGTTTATTTTGTTTTACGTCATATCCTCAATGGGTTCTAATGCCAACTATCTATCTATATCTATATATCTATTTAGTATATATTGGTTTGTTTTTGTTTTACGTCATATCAACCTCAATGGGTTATCTAATACTGACAAAATTTTTATTGCTGGTAATATCTATCTATCTATCTATCTATCTATCTATCTATCTTAGTATATATTGGTTTGTTTTGTTTTACGTCATATCAACCTCAATGGGTTATCTAATACTGACAAAATTTTTATTGCTGGTAATTCTATCTATATCTATCTATCTATCTATATCTATATCTATCTATATCTTAGTATATATTGGTTTGTTTTGTTTTACGTCATATCAACCTCAATGGGTTATCTAATACTGACAAAATTTTTATTGCTGGTAATATCTATCTATCTATCTATCTATCTATCTTAGTATATATTGGTTTGTTTTGTTTTACGTCATATCAACCTCAATGGGTTATCTAATACTGACAAAATTTTTATTGCTGGTAATATCTATCTATCTATCTATCTATCTATTATCTATATATATTGTATATATTGGTTTGTTTTGTTTTACGTCATATCAACCTCAATGGGTTAAAACTGACAAAATTTTTATTGCTGGTAAATATCTATCTATCTATCTATCTATCTATCTATCTTCTTAGTATATATTGGTTTGTTTTGTTTTACGTCATATCAACCTCAATGGGTTATCTAATATGACAAAATTTTTTGGTAATATCTATCTATCTATCTATCTATATCTATCTTAGTATATATTGGTTTGTTTTTTGTTTTACGTCATATCAACCTCAATGGGTTATCTAATTTTGACAAAATTTTTATTGCTGGTAATATCTATCTTTTCATCTATCTATCTATCTATCTTAGTATATATTGGTTTGTTTTGTTTTATCATCAATCAATGGGTTTTTATCTAATACTGACAAAATTTTTATTCTGGTAATATCTATCATCTATCTATATCTATCTTGTATATTTGTTTTTTTTTTTTACGTCATATCAACCTCAATGGGTTATCTAATGCTGACAAAATTTTTATCACTCTGGTATATCTATCTATCTATCTATCAAAATTATCTATCTATCTATCTATCTTAGTATATATTGGTTTGTTTTTTTTGTCATATCAACCTCAATATCTAATACTGACAAAATTTTTATTGCTGGTTATCTATCTATATCTTACTTAAAAATTGGTTTGTTTTGTTTTACGTCATATATGGGTTATCTATATCAAAATTTTTATTGCTGGTAATATCTATCTATCTATCTATCTATCTATCTTGTATATATTGGTTTGTTTTGTTTTACGTCATATCAACCTCAATGGGTTATCTAATACTGACAAAATTTTTTATTGCTGGTAATAATATCTATCCATCTATCTATCTATCTATCTATCTTAGTATATATTGGTTTGTTTTGTTTTACGTCATATCAACCTCAATGGGTTATCTAAACTGACAAAATTTTTATTGCTGGTAATATCTATCTATCTATCTATCTATCTATCTATCTATCTATCTATCTTAGTATATATTGGTTTGTTTTTTTTTTACGTCATATCAACCTCAATGGGTTATCTAATACTGACAAAATTTTTATTTTGGTAATATCTATCTATCTATCTATCTATCTATCTTAGTATATATTGGTTTGTTTTGTTTTACGTCATATCAACCTCAATGGGTTATATGACAAAATTTTTATGGTAATATCTATCTATCTATCTATATATTAGTATCTTATATATATTGGTTTGTTTTGTTTTACGTCATATCAACCTCAATGGGTTATCTAATACTGACAAAATTTTTTATTGCTGGTAAATCTATCTATCTATCTATCTATCTATCTATCTATCTTAGTATATATTGGTTTGTTTTGTTTTTACGTCATATCAACCTCAATGGGTTAATACTGACAAAATTTTTATTGGTAATATCTATCTATCTATATTTTATCTTTTATATATATTGGTTTGTTTTGTTTTACGTCATATCAATCAATGGGTTATCTTGACAAAATTTTTATTGCTGGTAATATCTATCTATCTATCTATCTATCTATCTATCTTAGTATATATTGGTTTGTTTTGTTTTACGTCATATCAACCTCAATGGGTTATCTAATACTGACAAAATTTTTATTGCTGGTAATATCTATCTATCTATCTATCTATCTATCTATCTATCTTAGTATATATTGGTTTGTTTTTTTTTTTACGTCATATCAACCTCAATGGGTTATCTAATACTGACAAAATTTATATTGGTTTGTTTTGTTTTTAATATCTATCTATCTATCTACAAAATTTTATCGATCATCTATCTATCTATCTTAGTATATATTGGTTTGTTTTGTTTTACGTCATATCAACCTCAATGGGTTATCTAATACTGACAAAATTTTTATTGCTGGTAATATCTATATCTGTTAAGCCTTAAACTTGACAGTGATTATTCATCTTATATGCATGTGTTCAGTTTAGAAGAAAGAAAGACACCTTTACTCATTTGCAATTCATCAAACATGAGGCACTATTTAACTATTCCCCTTCTATGATGCTATTCTTGATACAAGGAAATTTGTAATGAGAGGACTCGGTATGCCTACATGCGAGTAGTGCCAAAAATTGTATATATTCTTTCAATTATTTTTCTTCTTTTACATATTACTTACACTCTGGAAATGGGTGATTATGGCTCTCCACGAGTTCTTATCTTTTGCAGTTCTAAGCAATGTTTATCCCTTCTTATGCTTCCCATTACATGTTAGCCATCCATTAACAGAAGCTCGATAGTTTACAACCGGACATTCTGATATTCAGGGTAAGATTCTCCAAGATCGCTTTCAACTTTCTCTGACTCAGATATTTCAGCTGTCTCTTTCTGAGCCTAACTACATGTTGTTAGTTTTGTTTCTCTGCTCGTGATAAATTCCTCGTTGTTCATATGCTCCCTGCATGGTGGTCTCTGGAACCACATTTCCTTTGCTTTCAGCCTCCTTCTTCATCGGTAAGAAAATTATTCTGAGCATGTTCTACAGAACAACATTTCTGTCGCTTCAATTCTCCCCTTCATATATAAGACAATTGTCCAGTATTCAATGCCATATAGGAGGATTGATATTACATAGCAGTTCAGTACTCTCTTTTTGTTTCTATTGCATTAGGCCTCCTCTTCATCTGTGAGGAAATTGTCCTGTAATCACTGCCATATAGGAAGATTGATATTACATAGCAGTTCAGTACTCTCTTTTTGTTTCCATTTCTTTAAGCCTCCTCTTCATCTGTCAGGAAATTGTCCTGTATTCACTGCCACATAGGAAAATTGATATTACATAGCAGTTCAGTACTCTCTTTTTGTTTCCATTGCTTTAAGCCTCATCTTCATCTGTGAGGAAATTGTCCAGTATTCACTGCCATATAGGAAGATTGATATTACATAGCAGTTCAGTACTCTCATTTTGTATCCATTGCCTTAAGACTCCGCTTCATCTGTGAGAAAATTGACCTGTATTCACTGCCATATAGGAAAACTGATATTACATAGCAGTCCAGTAGACTCTTTTTGTTTCCATTGCTTTCAGCCTCCTCTTCATCTGTGAGGAAATTGTGTCCTGTATTCACTGCATATATATATATATATATATATATATATATATATATATATATATATATATATATATATATATATATATATATAGTAGTTCAGCCCTCTTTTATTTTCTATTGCTTCAAGTCTCCTTACCTTCAGTGAAGAAATTGCCCAGCATTTACTATTTTATAGAAAAACTGTTATTCCATAGCAATTCAGGCCTCTTTTCTTTGCTTTGGTTGTCTCAAGTCTCTTCTTGATCGGTGATGAAATTGTCCACCACTAAGTGCCATAGGGGAAGACTCATATTTCATAGCATTGCAGCATTCTTTTCTTTGTTTCTAAATAAATCTTTCTGTTTGTTAATATTTTACTTAGCTTCTGGAAGTCATCTTTCTCTATTTCAACACACCTTCGGATTTCAGTGTCGTGTTTCCTTTCTAGATATTTCAATTCCTGTACTTGCTTGTTTGGACATCTCCAATTTGTAACTTGCATATTGGACTTTTCCACTTGCTATTAAGCATATATATATATATATATATATATATATATATATTACAAATGATAGTCCTTTCTTCGCGCTTTCCTTTACTATCTTCTTAACTTCCTCTTTTGGGGAAGCTGTATCAGTCATTATATTTCAGATGAGACCATGCAACCTTGACTCCTTTTAATTGCCGCACCATATCCTATAAAGAGGCTAAGAAGAGATTAAATTATTACTTAGTTTGATAGAAGGTCATATTTATTGTAAAACTGTCAGGATGAAACACATTAATCCATAATAATGATCAACTCGACGAGCTCGCTTATTTTTCTCTCATGCGCCGTGAAATATAGCTCAGTTTGTTAAAAGACCAAAAATAAAAGGTGCCCAGTAAGGATCGAACACTCTACGCCGTAATAATAATGAACCAGAACTCATTAAACATTAAACCCGATGTCAAAGTACCCTGGCTAAACGTGTGTGAAATGATCCGATTGTGAATGGTCCAGGGTAGATAACTCTACCATCTCAAGAAAAATGGATCTATTGACCTCCCCAAAAGCATGAATTTGACGCAAGATCAGATTAAATAAAAGCGCCCCCCTCCTTACGGGTAGAGAAGAAAATTGTATATTTCCCTCAAATTCTTCTTTTATGTATTACTTACCCTTTGGAAATGGGTGATTATGGCTCTCCACAAGTTCTTATCTTTTGTAGTTCTAAGCAATGTTTATCCTTTATTATGCTTCCCATTCCATGTTAACCATCCATTAACAGAAGCTCGATAGTTTCCAACCAGACATTCTGATATTCAGCACCTTCTACAGAACAACATTTTGAACTTGCATTTCAGCGTGGCAAAGGATTCAGCAAATAAACCTCACCCCATGTCCTACGGTCGGAATAGGGGTATTTGGAACTTTTAGTGACCACTGATAAATTATGAGACAACTGAGTGATTTGAGAAGATATTCCCAATGACTGTCTGAAAAGTATGCAGCCATTCTGAATACATTTTGTTGCTTATTCATCGCATTTTATGAAAGTTTTTATGCAAAACCCCTTATCTGTCACCCTACAACTGTACAAACCTTGCGAAACCTGCGATTTCATGTCTTTCCCATAATTAAAATCACTGCTGACAGCGTTGATATTCCAGAGCATGGACGAGATTAAGGACAACGCAACAAGGCAATTGACGGGGATCCGAGAAAAATAATGATTTCAAAAGAGACTGGAAAAAGTGTGTCAGTTCCCTTGATAACTACTTTGATGGATTCATTCAATTTCTACAGCTTATAAATCTTCTGCAGGTTATTTAAAGCCAGAAAGTATCTAGATATTTTGAAAATAACTTTGTATTCATGGTCAACGAAGCGAGAGTGGGTGAGTACTTCGATAAAACACTCACCCACAATTATTCCTTTTGTGTACTATTAGCAAATATAGCTACTACACACGTTTTTAGTTTTGACAGTGTCTGTTTATTGTACATGTATGTTTTTTTTTTAAGCATTACGTCCTGAGCAAGGCGTGAAGCCACTAGGATGCAGGGGGTTGCAGAAGATTTGGAGCGAGAGCAGATAGGAGTGATAGAAGAAAGGATGAGGAGAATGATAGTGGGTAGATCAAGGTAACTGGAGATGTCGATTGACATTACATTTGAATAGTTGGAGATTATAGCTCTCAGGGAAGGGTGTTCCACAGGCGAGAGGAGCGAGGTATGAAGCTATTGGAATAGAAGAGACGGCTACATTTAAAAGTTTCTACAGTGAAAGGGTGAGGGCGGGATGCCAGCCTCGTAGGGCGCTTGAATTCATGAAGTCTGGGAACCAGCGAAAGCAGCTCATTGGAGAAATTACCATGAAAGTATTTGTAGAAAAGACAGAGAGAGGCGACGGCGCGTCTGTGAGAGGTGTTCAGTTTGGAAAAAAGAAAGACCGTTTAGCTCATTTGCAATTAATCAAACATGAGAGACTATTTACCAACCCAATTCTATGATGCTAGGTTTGACACAAGGACACTTTTAATGAGGGATTCGCATGCCTACATGCGGGTAGTGCCAGAAATTGGACATTTTTCTCATTTTATGTACATTTGCAGATTATTTAATTATTTAAAGCCAGAAAATATTTTGAGAGTGCAAGATTGGTGGGGGAGATAATAATGATTTAGTGATACAAGTCTTACTAATTAACCCATAGATGGGGAGAGAAGAGGTGGATTCATACCTTTGCCGAATGCATTTGCCAGCAAGTGAATATGACGAAACTAACTGAAATTGGAAATCGGCTCTCCGATTAACAATCCCGAGCTATTATCCATTACACCACCCACACATCCAAACTTACTGCTCCTGGTAATCACAAGCAGTCACCTATCTGATAACTGACATCCATTAAACATGGAACGTGGAACTAGAACAGTCTACCCGAGTGAGCGAAATAAAGGTTTCAGTTCGACATTCCATCCACCTGAAGAAGGCCGGAGCGTACAACAGCCGAAACGTTGTAATAAATATGGCGACAAAGATGAGGACAATAGTCCGAATAATGCAAATAATGTACATAATACCTCATCTCAGAAATATAGACAAATACTGAACAGCCGAAACATTGTAATAAATATGGCAACAAAGATGAGGACAATAGTCCGAATAATGTAAATAGTGTACATAATACCTCATCTCAGAAATATAGACAGATACTGAAAGGCCGAAACGTTGTAATAATTATGGCGACAAAGATGAGGACAATAGTTTGATATTTGATTATCATACATTTCAACGAATGAATATCTTGTGGAATATTTAAGTTGTTTTAAGCTTTTCACATCAAGATATTATTATTATTATTATTATCATCGTCATCATCATCATCATCATCATCAATATTTGATATACATGTTTTTTTGTGATCTTTTTTAGCCTTTTCGTTTTTTTTTTTTAAGAATGATTCGTCTAAATGACTTGGATAATTAAAAAAAATGATTAAGATTAGAAAACTTTATTTATTTCAGTAAGTTAACCGTTATCTCCCCCCGCTATCCGTATAAACTACATTCTAACGTAACCCTGTGTCTCGAGTGGCCCTCGAGTCTTGTACAGTGTG